TCCGAGGAGTTTTCATTCTCACAGACAGTCAAGCGTACACCGATCCGGAATATGGTTGAGCAACGTTCCAGAAAAGTCGCGAACACCATATATGATCAGGTTGACACAGGGTCGAAGCGAACTAGTCTCAGTTGTGAAATCACCCCTTTGTGAAACCTGTTGCAGTTTCTTGCGAAGCTTTGTTAGGAATGAGAACTGCTCAGATGCAGGATTCATACTCAACAAGCCATCAGATTATGACATTGATTCAGAATTACATCTTCTGGAATAAAAAAGGCTAACCGATATCTTCACATTTACGTACAATCCTAGACGATGGAAGGGATCACGTTTTTTACGCCTTAATGACCACCTCGGACTCCATCACGGGAATATTGGGTATCTGCGCATTCAGCTTACGGAGCATCGACGAGGCACTAAATCGCCCACAGGTTTTTACCTGGCAAACATCGGACTCTGACAATTGGTTGCAACGATTCTGGCGGACTGTGCTGCCCCTGACTGGTTGGTCATCGTCGAGTGAAGATGACTTCACTTACGGCACTTGGTCTGCATATCCCACGCCCGGAAGTTCAACCCTAAGGATGGTAGGTAACACTCCGATGACCGAAGCAATCTCGAAATCCGCAGAGGTAAGTGCAACGTTTGGATTTCCAATTCTTTCTTTTGAGAGTCCCAAGTGTTAGCTAGAATCTCGATGATTTTCCTCTACACACTAATAAATAGTACTTCAAGTAGTACGAAGTTTACAGGTGAATTTCTCATTGATCGGCAGTCACTTGTAACATCAGCGGGTAAGGCATTTTCTGAAAATGGGGCCAGAACGCCTTCAACCCGCACTAAGATACAGTGGGGGTATCGAGCGTCAGCTCGGGCTCCGAGCACTTCGGTCAAACAACGGATAAAGGACCAAGCGCGGAAAAGCTCCATCAGAATGACACAAGGTATATTGCACCCGGACGATGAACTACGCGGAAGGCTAAGGCTAAGCCGTCTAACGTTTGCTCACCTCTGGACTGCTGGCAAGAGACAGTAGGACACCTAATCTTAGTCATCGCGGAATTCACGAGGGGTGAAAAAAGGACTAGAAGAATCAAGGAAAATGATAATCTTTGAAATACAAATAATTTTTGACTGGACTGTCGATCCATTGTACGCTCGATCTGAATTCTGATTGGTTGTTCGAAAACCTAGGCGGCCAATCACACTTCGAGAGAAGATGTTAGGAAAGTCCACCGAGGCAGGCGTTTGTATGCACGTACAACACACAACAGTTTAGCACAGGGAATTGTGGTCGTTGGCACAAATATCCTATTCTGCACAGAAAATAGATTTTCAAACCAGATTCAACTGAATACAGCTAAATCATCCTTTTCAATGACTCACTCTGATATATTTGCTGATTCGTCAATCTGCTGCTGACCCGTTCCAGTGCCTAGTGTCGGAGAGAAAAGACTCACAGAAGGGAACACAACAGCTGTATTCCGAACAAGCGAGTGCGTGAGAGAGAGTGCAAAAGTTACCACGGCCCAACGCTATTTAAAGGGGACTTTCTGACATTGATCCAGGCTGTCTGATATGCGTCAGTGATCACCCATCAACATCGATCGTGCCTGAACGCTGATCACATTCGGTCGTGCTTCTGTGGCGTGCAAGAACACTCATCAGGTTTTACTGAATTGATCGAATGATTGACTGGCCTGGATGCTTGCCGGCTTTCCAGTTGAGCTTTTGGTGGAGCAGTAGGTTCC